GTCTCGCAGCCGCTCTTTCACCCTTAGCTTCGATATAAGTCTACAAATATCTCTTCTAGGGTGATTGAGTGTTGTCTTTGTGTAGATCTTGTCATCCAGCCGGAATCTGTATGTGTCAAGTTCAACGAGATTTAATTCCCAGATTGAATTGACGTGTCTTTTGACCATACTGTAGATTTCCATGGTGCTGTAGTCTATGGTGCGGAGTGGTGCTGTGTCCTGGGGCCCTCTTTGGCGAGTCGATCTGCCTCCTCGTTTCCTCTAATGTTGACATGTGATGGAATCCACACGAGTTCTACTTTGCTTCCCTTCTCTAAAACCCTCTGGTACAGCTGCCTGATTTCCAAAATGACTTCTGGTCTTGAGTCCGAGTTGTCATTTTGGATTGAAATCAGACTGCTCAGAGAATCGCTTGGAATGACGAACTTACTAGTCTTTTGATGGGAAATCCATGATATAGCGTCACGAATGGCCACAAGCTCTGCAGTGTACACCGAACAGTTATTGGGCAGTTTCCTGCTTATTCCCTGTTCCCCGTTTGGCAGGTATATTCCAAACGAGCTGGTGCCCCTTTCAGGATTGCGTGAGCCATCCGTGTACACATGGTCCCAGTCATCAGACGGCCAGTTGTCTTCCAGGTGTTCTAGAGAGAAAGCACGTGCAGCAGTGGGGTTGTTTTTCTTGTCGGTTTTCTGTAGTAGTTCTAGATTAACCGGCGGTATAGGAAGCGTCCAAGGGGCGATCACTGGGGGGTCGTGTTCATTTATCACGAGCTCCCCCAGTCGCAGTTCCTTGATTGTTTCCCTGATACCCTGGCCGAAGCTTTTCTTTCTAGGATCTCTCACATATCTTGTATTTTTTAGACTGACAAAGGTTGGGGATCTTTTGCCCAGTTGCGAGATCTTAGCCCAGTACCTTGTCGCTAGTTCTTTTCTTCTTAGGGATAGGGGCAACTCCCCGACTTCCTGCAGTAGTGCCTCTCTCTCCCAGTCCCTTGCCCTATGCCAGTCGCAATACACAGAGCTTTGTATTGGATGGTGTCAAGCTTCCTTAAGAGTAATGGTGCGCAGTTCATGAAGGCCAGAGAGCCGTAGTCTAATACAGATCGTATTAGAGCACGAAACACCATCATTAGTGTGACTCTGTTGGCCCCCCAAGTGCTGCCCGTTATTTTCCTCATTAAGTTTAGGATTTTTGGTGCATCTATCTACAGTCTCGTCGATGTGCGGTTTCCAGGTCAGCCTTCGGTCAAAGATTATGCCAAGGAACTTGGTTTGGTCTTTAAACTCGATGGTTTTCCCATTCATACACAGTCATTCTGCTTATCCCTCTATCCCTGCTTACAAGCATGCCGACTGTTTTCTTCTCCGAGACTTTGAATCCCCAATCGTTTGCCCATGCCATGAATTTGTCTAAGGCCTTCTGCATTTTCTTTTGTAGTTCACAGAAGTTCCTCCCTTTCCTCCATATGGTACTGTCATCAGCAAATTTAGCTAACTCAGTTTTGGCGTCGAGGTAGGACGATTTATGTATGTCGTTGATCATGATATTGAAGAGAGTGGGACTGATAACCGATCCCTGAGGCGTGCCATTTTCTAATGTTTGCACGGCACTCAGGAATCTGCCAACATTCACCTGTATCTTTCTATCGCTCAGAAAGCTTTTGATCCACCGAAACATTATACCCGTTATACCAATACGTCCTAACTTGAAGAGCAGCCCGTCTAGCCCGACTAAATTAAAAGCCTTAGTTAAATCTACGAACACGACACATAACAGGTTCCCAGAGAGGAGTGCCTGCGACATGACTTGCTGTAGTCTCACCAAGTGGTCCGTTCCTGAACCCGCTTTGATTTTCGTCGATCAGTCGGTTGCTCTCCAGATAGAACTGTAGTCGTATGTTAACCATTGTTTCCAAGGTTTTGCACAGTGTGGATGTCAAACTTACTGGTCGATGGGACTCTGCCTTTGTTCTCTCTTTACCTGGTTTTGGAAGAGGGATGACGTTGGCTTTCCGCCATTCTTTAGGTACCTCTCCTGCCAGCCAGGATGTGTTGAAGAAGTTTAGTGGTATCCTTTTGGCATTTCTAGGCAGATGTTTGAGCATCGAGTACTTTACTTTGTCCTCACCAGCCGCACTATCCTTCTTGAGGGAAAGAGCCTTATATAACTCCTCCTCAGAGAAGGGTAGATTGATTGGTTTAGCCCCTCCATTAGGTTCAATTTCTAATGAAGGGTGCTGTGAGTAAAAGATTTCCTTTCTCTTCAGGAACTCTTGTGATTGGTTTTCGTCCCTGCTTGCGTCAGCGAACGCTTTTGCAAGTAGATCTGCCTTTACATTGCCGTTGGTAATGTACTCATCTCCATTCTTTAGGTTTGGTATGTTGAATGATCTGCGCTTCCTGCTCATGGCGTTCAGCTTCTTCCAGACGGCACCGGTTTGCGTGTTTTGATTCAACGCATTACAGAATGTCATCCAGTGTCCGCTTTGTGCCTTCCGGATGGTGTCTCTTGCGGCGTATTTCAACTTCAGGTAGTTTTGGTGATTGACTTCATTGTAGTGGCGTTTCCGTAGGCGTAGTGCCTTCTTTCTTTCGTTAACCGCCATCTGACATTCTGGTGACCACCAAGGTTTTCTAATCCTTGATTGCCCTCCAGAAGTCTTGGGAATGGAGTCGTCTGCGGCACCTATAATAGCACTCGTGATGTTGGCTGCGTACACGTCGATGTCGGCATCGATGATGTCTTCTTCTTTCCACCCAAGGCAGACTCTTTTATTTTCCAATTGGGTTTCCCTGGTTGTTTCACATTGGATGCAGAGTTCTATCAGTAGATGGTCGCTGCCAAGTGTTTCATCTTCGTGTACTTGCCAGTCGCAGCGGTTTGCCATACCAAGCGTACAGAGCGTGAGATCTAGATGTGAAGGTGGGGCATTTCCTCCAACAAAAGTAGGGCTCTCGTCGTTCAGTACGCATAGGTCGTTCTCTTCTATTATTGAGCATAGGCTAATCCCCCGACAGTCATTCCTCGGTGACCCCCACAGGACGTGTTTTGCGTTGAAATCCCCGCAAAACACAAATTCGCCCTGCAGAAGCTGGTCGAGAAGTGACTGGAAGTCAACTGGTTTTCTCGTGACATCTGGGGGTACATAGACATTCACTATTGTCAATTTTGTATTATTGCTCAATGTGATGGCTATGCCCATTGCTTTTAGAGGGTCCTCTACGTCCAGCGAAACAGAAATATAATTTAAGTTATCACTGACGTAGATGGCAAGACCACCGCCATGTGCCGTGCTGCCCGATCTGTCCCTTCTCTGACAAGTGTATCCGGGCAAGTAGATGTCGTTTTTGGTTGGTAGTAGCTTGGTTTCTTGGAGGCATATTACATCTTTGGGGTTGCGGGTGATGTATTTTCTCAGCTCAGCACATCTGGGGGCCAGTCCATTAACGTTTAGTTGTAGAACTTTTACCTGGCCCGCCATGATGACTGTCCGGATGGATGCCTCTCTGTCTTGTCTATTTATTGGTCAATTGGCGTTTCACATTCCATAGGAGGTACCTCATTAGTGTTAGTCTTTGGTGTTAAAACCGGCAAGCAAATGGGCATATCGCCAGTGCTGTAGTGACGAACATGAGATATCCTTCTACGGAGTGCGAGGTTTGCCGTTTGATCGCCTTTTGTGGTTTCTTCGTTGTCGTCTTCTTCTCTTGATCTTTTTTTTACCGTGTTGATTGAATTAATCATGACACACAGGACATCGGGGTTGACCATGTGTGTCCTTATTTTGCCGAGTAGGTTTGTCATCTTGGTAGTTTGGTCCTCATTGGACACGGCCACCCGGAGGAACTCGATCATGAAGTTCATGAAGCCACTTTCCGTTATAAATTTAGGAATGAAGTGTGATTCATGAACATTCGTTTTCGGTTCCTCTTCCTTCTTGGATTTGGTCTTGTTCTTTGGTGTTGGTTTGTCTTTTTGGTTGGGTGCCGTGGTGGGTTTTTTCGGCGTTGTTTAGGATGTCGATGGAATCGGCCCCGGAATTGGTTTTGCAACCGGAGCCCTATTCCTGACATCTTTTGTCTTCCCTTCCTTCTTTTTCAGCATCAATGAGGCTTCATTGAAACTTACTTTCTCTTTTACCTGGATATTTAGAGTTTCCTTGGTGTTCTGGATTTTCGGGCATTCGGGAGAGTTCGCTGCGTGACCGCCTTTACAGTTCGAACATTTTTTTGAATGTCCGCCCTGCAGTCGGTCGCCGCATGACTCCCCCCACACTGGGCGCACACAGTCTTTCCTTTGCAGTCTTTCCTGTGTGCCCCAGCTTCTGACAGTTGGCGCACTGCCTTAACCTCTGTACATAGGGGTGAGTACGTCGGTTGAGGTAGACGATTTTAAGTGCCTCGGGCGCTGTACCTTTCTTGAAGGTTAGGGCGACGCTTCCCGAAATGACCTAGTTTGTGTCGAGTGGACGTTAAACCCCATTTCTCTCTCTCTCTATATTGAGTTCCACGTTATGAATTTTTTAAAAAGAAACTATTTTTTTTTTTTTTTTTTTTTTTTTTTTAATATTCTTAATAAAACTTTATTCAGTAATTAGATCATATAGACCCATAGATACAAAGATGATACACTGACACATATTCAAGACAACCATATTTACATTTATGTAGGTTTCAAAGGAAAAGGTAATATAATGATAAATTTATGTCGACTTACATTGATATGAATTATGTAGGCCTTATTGCGTTGTTGCTTTGTGAGAATGCTTTGTACAAATCAATTGTTACTAGGGCACAAATTTGAAAAATTAGCCTATTAGTAAAGTTGTGAAATTTCATTGGAATATGTACATCTTAGATCATTCAAATATTTACATTGAAGTACAAAATCCTCTTCTTCTGTAATACAATTTTTTTTTTTTTTTTTTTTTTTTTTTTTTTAAATATAGTTTATTTATAAAATTCATATAATTACATTCAGTTATGCATAATTATATTAACAATGCAATAAATAATTTATAATTTAATACAGTAGAATTATTTATTTATTTACAATTGTTATATACAAAGTCAATATGAGATGATATATACAAACGGTAATATAATACAAAATACAATTAAAGTTCCTATATTATAGCTACTTTCTTATATACAGCTAAAAATATATTTGAAGTCTGTAGTGGAAAAGCGTCTGGTTGAAAGAGAGTGTGATGTTTCCCAGCACAAAAAGAACGTGCATAGGGAATTGTGGGATGTTATGATGGCCATGTTAATGTTAGAGGTGAGTGTTGATTACAGTGAATGAATAGCGGTAAAACAAACGGGTAAAACTTGAGTTAGTGTTTAAATGTTTTTAATGGATTTCTATTTTACTGTTTGACATATTTCAGTGGGTGTATAGGTATTTTATTTATATGACAGAGTGAGATAGTGCCATTTCACGAAAACGAAAGATGACTAAGATGTCAAGTTGTGACAACTTAAAGTAAATAGCACGGTATGTTTAGTCATATAGTAGAGTAATTAATATGGAAGCTTCATACAGGACGATAACTTGCCTTATACAGGAGAATTCGGTAAGGCAGAGTAGGCTGAAGCTTGGTGATTTCAATTTTATTTCCTTTTGTATAATATTGGTTTATCAATTAAGCCAAAATTTTCCAGAATTTATATGGGGTAGGCCTACAGGTGTTTGGTTATTTTGTTTATTTTCGCTTGTAGGCCTACATTCTTACTAAAAATTGCAATGAGTGCTCATATACGAAAGAAATATAAGAAGATGTCTATGGTTGTAGCTACTTATTATAGTAGCAAAGTCAATATTTCATGGGTGAAGTTGCAGAGTATAAATTCAGACATGACGACACAAACCTAGGCTTAAGGAGGGTCATAAGGTAGTGAACACTTGAGCTTAAGAGAGTAATCTTTATTTTTGTTTTCTTTTTGTATAGAATTGGTATATAAGCTCTTGTGAAATATTGGTGGATAGAGGGTGTGTTCGGTTAGACCATATGATCGACAGGTATGTATATATCATGAATGTATTTAGATTTTATATTGTGTAGATGGATTGTATTGTTGTTGATTTTGAATTCTTTGGTGAGATGAATGTTGTTTATATGTGTAGTAATGAAACATTTATAGAATTTTAATTTGGGGCAATTCAGAAATAAATGATAGTAAGATTCAGTTGCTCGGTTACAATAGTGGCATTTATAGTTGATAGTATATATATTTCTGTATAGCATAATATCTTTTGTTAGTACTGCATTATTGATGATTGTATACATGAAATCCTTTTCTTTTTCAGATAAGGAGGAGCATTTATAGAGGTTTGTCCAGACTTTTGAAAAGTCAACATGAGGTAATTGTTTATTTATTTTTGGTTGTGTCTGTAATAAGTCAATTAGGGACCAGTATATGTCTTTAAGTTTTGTATTGTATGTATATTTGATGGATGATTTGAGGCTATTGTAAGTTTCTTTTATATCTATATATGATTGGGGGAGTTTTTCCGAGTGGGTATAATTATTGGATGCATATCTTGGCAGAGTATCCCTTGTAGTAAATCCTAGCCAGGGGCTGTTGTTGTCTTTGATTGCTTTTACTATAAGATGTTGTTGCATTGCCTGGATTTTTAGTCGAATGTTTGGCACTTTAAGGCCACCATTTTTATGCTCAAGGTTCAAGGTGTTTCGATTAATTGTTTCACTTTTATTTTCCCAGATGAAATTGTAGATTATTTTATTTATGTTTTTAATAATGAGTTTGAGGGAGGAACTATCCTAGCAACAAACCATAGTTTGCTGAGTATATAGGTGTTTAAGATGCATACTTTTTCTTTATATGAAAGAGAGTGATTTTCCCATGTCTGGATGGTTGAATTGATTATTTGAACAAGGGGTAGCCAGTTCTTTTCCATTTTATTTGAGCCAAACCAAATGCCTAGTAATTTTATAGCGTCTGTTTTAATATTAATATTTATATTTACAGGATAGGAGTAGTGTGATGGTTTTCCAACAGAAAGGATTTCAGTTTTATCATGGTTTAGTTTGGAGCCAGATATAGAGCCAAATGTTTTGAATTGTTCGAGGAGAGTGCTGTATGAAGAAAGTCTAGATATTATAGCAGAACAGTCATCTGCATGCTGAAATAACTTAATCTCTGAAGGGTGGTTAGGGATCCTGATGCCTTTTATGAGGATGTTTTTGTTTATGTATGAAGCAAGGGGGTTGATACACAATGAGTATAGAATCATGGATCAACAGTAATTTCTAATACACCTTTGATGTAATTAAAATATCTATATAGCTTATGTTCATAATCCATTGAGGCGTTTGTGTCGCTGACAAATTACAGTTTTTAAATAGGATACACAACACATCGTTATTAACTTTCAGAGTCATGACGAATTTTAAATTTTATTAAACCAAAGTTGTCACATAACAAGACAGTGAATGTATTTGGAATATTATTGTTCTGTTCTGAAATCTATAAATTTACCTTTGGTTTATAATACACATTATACAGTTACAATGGAATTGTGTGTACATTTATTGCCCCTAATAAAGTCTGGCAGCAGTTATATAACATCTAGGTCAACGTTGTTACAAGTTGGTGATCAGCAAAGCGTATAGTTCGTGCTCTGGTGTCAGTTTGGTGATTGTAATTAGAAATGTAAATTCTACTGTGTGAATTGGTAATTCCTTTTAATAATTTAACAAATCCAAGGAGAAGAACAGCCAACCAACAAATAATCTGTTAATATTATTTGAAAGACTTTAAATTTTCCAATAAGAGATTTTTTCAAATTTTTTTGGGGGAATAAGCTATAGAAAAATATCATCATAGTCCTATGATTTAGCATTAGTCCACGTACGCCGTGATAATGTCGGCATAGTAGCACAAGCATTTCTCCTTTTCAATGTCATCACGTGTTTTTTGGCCTTATATTTCTTTGAATAATTTGAATAACAACTTGATAACGTTTCACGGTCTTTGTCATGCCCAGTCTTAAATTCCACTCATTGACTATGTTTCTTTTAAAACCCCATAAAATTCCACAAACTATCATTATTGGAGAAAAGCTATATGCGTATAACAGCGAATGTCTTGGCTAATACCAATTGCCAATTCAATGAAAAATATAGCACACAATTGATACGTTGCGATTTAATTAAAACATTTAATTATGAACCCATATAAACATCAATATGTGACAACAAATAATGGTATTGCTTATACTCCTTATCTTGTCTAGTTCATTTCTTTGTTTGAACATTTCTCTGATTACAACATAATATAATGACTTGACAGTTTTTTCGTTTCAGATACTAACCGAAATTTCCTATGAGAAAAAAATGAAATGTATATAATATATACATATTATGTAAATAGAATATCAAGCTTTATTTAAATGAGATGCTCGAAAAGTGAACCACACATTTATCCATTGCAATAAGATCAAAATTGAATATACCACAGTAATCACTCAAATTACAAAATTGTCCTTTTTATACCCCACATTGAAATGTGGTCGTATATTGTCGTCGCCCCCGTCCGTCCGTCGGTCGGTCCGGCGTCCACAATTGCTTGTGGACGCTCTTGAGGCTAAAGTTAATATCCGATTGACTTCAAATTTATACACAGTGTTTAAGGTCATGAGACGAAGAAGCCTATTGATTTTCAGCGATTTCCGATAATTACTGCCAGAGTTATGGCCCTTGATCGCTTCAAAAAATCTTGTGGACGCTCTAGAGGTCAGAGTTAATATCCGATTGACTTTAAATTTATACACAGTGTTTAAGGTCATGAGACAAAGAAGCCTATTGATTTTCAGCGATTTCCGATAATTACTGCCGGAGTTATGGCCCTTTATCACTTTGAAAAATCTTGTGGACGCTCTAGAGGCTAAAGTTAATATCTGATTGAGTTTAAATTTATACACAGTGTTTAAGGTCATGAGACGAAGAAGTTTATTCATTTTCAGCGATTTTCGATAATTACTGCCAGAGTTATGGCCCTTGATCACTTTGAAAAAATCTTGTAAAGGCTCTAGAGGCTAAAGTTAATATCCCATTGACTTTAAATTTATACACAGTGTTTAAGGTCATTAGACGAAGCAGCCTATTGATTTTCAGCGATTTCCAATAATTACTGCCAGAGTTATGGCCCTTGATCACTTTGAAAAATCTTGTGGACACTCTAGAGGCTAAAGTTAATATCCGATTGAGTTTAAATTTATACACAGTGTTAAAGGTCATGAGACGAAGATTTTTGATAATTACTGCCAGAGTTATGGCCCTTGATCACTTCAAAAAATCTTGTAAATGCTCTAGAGGCTAAAGTTAATATCCGATTGACTTTAAATTTATACACAGCGTTTGGGGTCATGAGACGAAGAATCATATTGATTTTCAACGATTTCCGATAATTACTGCCAAAGTTATGGCCCTTGATCTTTTTAAAAAACATTGTGACCCTCTAGAAGCTAAAGTTATCATCCGATTGACTTCAGATTCATACACAGAGTTTAAGGTCTTGAGACAAACAAGTATATTGATTTGCAATGAATTTTTATGACTTGAACAGCTAAATCCATGATGTTAAAAGTTTCCTTTACTAAACGTTAGCATGGGGCAAAACTTTATAAAAACCAAACCAATTCTAATGGTTTTCTGATAATTACTTAATGAGTTGTTACTCTTAATCAGATTTTAATGTATTATAAATGTTTCATTACCGAAAAAGTAAAAATATGTGACAATTCTTGTTGACTGCCCGGACGATTTAGCTGCTGTGGGCGTATGTTTCGTTGCCTGGAAACCTATCTTTGTTTTACTTATTGAAATAAAATAATAATAATAATAATAATACATTCTTATATAGCACATTCTAAAACATAACAATTTACACAGTAAAAAGCATGGCACATTTTCAACACGCTTTACAAAAAAATAATATTTTTACAAATAATAAAACTACATAAGAGGAAAACTTCAGTAAAATTGCAATAAGCTACGTGCTTTACCAAATATAAACTGTTACAATTCCAACCAACTTTATCAGCTAATCCATTCGAGCACGAGAAACAGCTCGCCTCTCAACATCAAAGAGCAGAGCTAACTGTGTGTGCCCCTCAACACCAAAGAACAGTTCCGTGTGAAAAGCGTGCACGAACCGACACAGAACCTGTGGTTTCTTAGTACTGTGGAGTAAAATAATAAAGCTATTTCATACAATGGAAAACAAGCGGCTATATGAACAAGCGTCTCAATATTAGGTCATATATCAGTATTATTCTTTGAAAGAGAGCTAGTTACACAGAGTTCGATCAAATCTAAATAATGTTCGGCAATGGGCAATATCACCGTGGTTGGAAGCGGGCGCATGTCCCTCTTTTCATCAGTGTTATTTGATATGTGAGTTATCATTTGTTATATATAGTGAGGAAATTACTTTTTCTCGGTAGTCCTATCTATGACCCAGGCAAGAAACTATACATTTATATATTAATACGCCAACGTGTAGTAAATATAGCAGTGACGAAAACTTACAGATTTTCATTAATTGTGCAATTTTACATTTATAAACTTGCTTTCGAAATAAGATTCGTTAATCTGATAACAATGACGATTAGAATATATCGGATAATCAAATTGGGGTTGGTTATGATATTGGGAAATGACGATACTGCATGCAATCAATTTTAAGATATGTGCATTTATAGTTCAGTGGTACGCACAATAATTTGTAAATAAATTAAACCCACAAAAAAGATCAAATATATAAATAACTGTAGTCCGACTATGGTACGAAGTAAAAAAAACGTTGTATTCATCAAGACATGAAATACGTAAGAACGCATATACGTAACTACCCCGCTTATAAATCCATGTATAAAGACCTACGCTTAACAAAGACCGATTTGTGTAAAACACACGGTCGAACAAGAAATCGCACAGTAAATTGGATTTAACACCTACGCGTCAGATAAAGCCTGTTGGTCCTTGATAAAACACCTTTGCTGCAGTTATTACACGCTTTCAAGAAAACTCACCAAACAAAGAATACACACCGTGTCAGTCGTTTTTAACCCGTTTTTTAATTAACAGACCTAGTGATAATTATATCACCTTTCAGTCAATTTCTGACCCCTGTTAATTAACACACCGTACCTACAGATTTTAGCCTCTTCGTATTAGATTTGTTGCGATAATTAGAATTTTACCGATATTCGTACAAATTTACTAAAAAGTGAGAAATATATACTGTAAATGTACAAATCTCACTATTACTACTTCTCAGTGAAGGGTCACAATTTTTATCCGATTTTGTTGAAACTTGAAATGTAAGTTTATAACAAAAAGATCTCGATTCCTTTCGATATTCGCGCATATCGGACCGTAACTTCCTGAATTATGGCCCCTGATTGTACGAAAAATCACGTTTTTAGCTTGTGGACCCTATAGAGGTCAGGTGGCTAGGTGGACGCTGGCTCGCTAGCCTGGAGGTCGGGTGTTCGATCCCTGCATTGGCCGAGAAAGTTCATCTGGATTTTCCGACGTGTTTTCCCCTTGTCAGTAGTGCAGAACGGAGGGCCTGACAAGGACAGCTGTCTAGTCTTTTGGATGAAACGAAAAACCGAGGTCCCACGTGTATACATTGGAATGCACGTAAAAGATCCCTTGGCAGTTGGAATTCGATATAAGAGTAGGTGATAGTGCTGCTTCCCGGGCAAAATTCCCCTCATAGCACACTGTATGGCGTTTGCCCGTCTTTATTAGCCCAGTATAGGAGCAGAACAGGAGGACGTTAAACCCCATTTCATTTCATTTCTATAGAGGTCATAATTTTTATCCGATTTAAAAAAACGTATTATTATATCACCGTTACACCCTAAGAACGTCGACTGGCGTGGTTTCGAATCCCCGGTTGTACGTGACAAGGAGTAGGATCGCCTGTCCAACCTCGTGGGTTTTCTCCTGGTCCTCCGGTTTCATCCCACTGCTAAATACCCTTATGCGCAAGCGAATTATTGAAATAAAATGAAACCATATGTTAGTCCCGAAATGACGTAGTTTGTGTCGAGTGGACGTTAAACCCCATTTCTCTCTCTCTCTCACCCTAAGGACGGCTGATTTCGAATTTCTTTTAAATCGCCCCAAAATTGACAGACAAAATGGCCGCCGTTCGTTCTCAAATAGCGTAAAAATATGGTCTATCAAGGTTGTGGACCCTATAGAGGTCACAATTTTTATCAGATTTTGTTGAAACTTGACATGTAAGTTTATAACCCAAAGATCTCGGTTCCTTTCAATATTCGCGCATATCGGACCGTAACTTCCTGAATTATGGCCCCTGATTGTAAAAAAAAATCGTGTTTTTAGCTTGTTGACTCTATAGAGGTCATAATTTTTATCTGATTTAAAAAAACGTATTATTATATCACCGTTACACCTTAAGGACGTGAAAATCGGCCTAAAACTGACAAGATAAAATGGCCGCCCTTCATTCTCAAATAGCCTAAAAATATGGTATATCAAGGTTGTGGACCCTATAGAGGTCACAATTTTTATCCAAT